CGGCTTTCCCTTTGGGCTGTCCCTTTAAAACCAGACCAAGAAAGGGTGCCCTCAGAATTTGTTTCCCTTTTGGCTTCCCTTGAAAACCCTCAGAAAAAAGAAACACTTGTTTTCATTGTTTTCCTTGAAAAAACCCTCAGAAAAGAAAAGAAAAGAACACATGTATGTAATATATATATATATATGGTACCCCCCCCCCCCATGGACCCTGGTTTGGTGCGGTTGACCTGTATTTTCCAGTGTTTTATGCTTCTTTTTGCTTCTTGGATATGTGTCAAAATTGGGGGGAGGGTCGTACATGTATATGATACGCATGCATGCATACAGATGTGATAAAAGCAATGACATCAGCACCTGCAATCTCAAAGAGTTTGAATGCATCCAAGAATACAAGAACAACTCAGACATTTTTAAAAATTATTAAAAATTCTGGGATTCAAGATTCAAGATTCAAGAATGTGAGAAAACATTTTCTGGGAATCTTGAATCTTGAATCTTGAATCCCATAATTTTTAAAAATTATTAAAAATTATGGATTCAAGATTCAAGATTCAAGAATCTGAGAAAATATTTTCTGGGAATCTTGAATCTTGAATCTTGAATCCCATAATTTTTAAAAAGTTTTGAAAATTCCAGGGTTGTCCCAATACTCTCGGTGTTCAATAAGATTCTCGGAAAAGTTTTCCGTGAAATTCAATCCAGTGGTAACGGATGTTCGAGGTGATAGAACAACTTGAACATTTTAGGGGTTGACCAGGATGGATGATTCTCAGGAAAGTGGTGGTTTGTGGGCTCCTCAATATTGATCCCCAATCCAGTGGTAAAGCACTTTCAAGTGTTAGAAGAACTTGAATGCTATTTGGGTTTGGCCAGGATTGACAATTCTCAGGAAAGTGTTCTGTGTAATCTTCAATATTGAATCTTCCATCCGATAGTAGCAAATGTTCAAGTGCTTAGCGATCCAGTGGACACACTTTCAAGTTAAGACAAACTTTCAAGTGCTTTTGGTGAGCTTCATGTCAGCTATACTCATGTTGACCCCTTTCCAGGAGGTAAACAAAGGCAGGTGCAACGCTCAAAAATACTGCATTTTCCAGTATTTTATGAGGAGGCGCAGGATCATTGGGGGTACTATATATGTGTGTATGTATGTGTATATATAGATATACATATGTATGTACGTTCACACACCGTTCCCCACCCTCTTCAACTACCTGTCCACATTTGCTCATCTACTACCTCCACCTTTTGACATAGAATTAACTTTCCTGCGCAAATAGAACTTTAAATACAACGGTTTAGCTAGAATCCCTGTTTCGAGATAGTTTTAGATTTTGAACCTCTCTTCCCTTGAAATTTCCCTTTGGAACACCGTCTAACAAGTTCAATGTCGGACCTTTCTTATGCTACAAAAGGGCCAGAATGTAAACAACACAAATCCTATTTTTAATTTCCAAATGTTTAGCCATATTCAATATGAATTATATTTGAGATGTAGTCTCTATTCACTTGATATTATCAAAAGCAAATTGAGTTGTTCGTCTTAGATTATACTTACCACTTGGATTATATTTGGGAAAAACGTCCATCTAACTTCTTGTGTTATAGATTAGTTGGAGTTTAGCCGAAAATATATATTTACATTTGCATGTAGCTGCTATTTGGAAAGGATTTGCTTGTTTAAGCTGTAATTGAACATAAACACATTTTTGAAAACTATATCCATACTAAACTATATTCAAAATTCCAATTCTAGTTGAAGTAACATCTTATGTGCAAAGGGTATCATACTGGGACATTGTGGAGGACTCCGGGCTCCAAATTATCACGCTTTGGGGACCCACAATTGGACATTTCGAGAATATAAACTTGGAAATTCTAGATTTGCCATCCCCAAAAGGCAGTAAAACCAGGGTCCATGGGGGGGGGGGGTTGCATATATATATATATATGTATGTATAAAAGAAGCAACTTGACACCCCCATGGACTGGACGTAGGAGTTCAAGGCCAAGTTCATGCCTTTCTTCGTGGAGGACTACCGCTGGACCTCGGCCAACTACCAGAACATGGCCAAGCGCGCGGAGGAGCGAGCCTCGGAGGTGGCCCGGACCTCCGGTGCTCCCGACGTGGCTTTTCTCTTTTTGTCTACACACAATTCATGGAAAGAACCGTTTGTTTTGTGCGTGCGTTTTTTTTTTTTTTTTTTTTTTAATGAGTTGCTTTTGTTTTTCGAAATCGTTTTTAGTTTTAGTGTTTGTTTGTTTGTTTGTTCGGGATGTGTTTGTTGGTTTAATCTGTTTTTGGGAGGAGATTCTGTACAACATTGTTACAACAGACATCTTAAAGGCCCGGAATCAAGTTTCGTTGATGTTTCTTTTGCGCCAGCAACATGGCAGCATTCGGCAGATTGGCCGATTGAGGTTATGTGTTTTGTTCATGTTTCTTGAGCCAAAAAGCAAAGCGTGTCGCTGACATAACAAGGGTTGGGTAGTTTGATTATTTTCCCCCTTGTTGCCCGTAGGGGTACCCAGACTTTCACTGCACTTGTGTCCTTTGTTGGCGGGAGCTCCCCTTTTAGCTCTCACCTAGCAACTGGCAACGGAACCCATCGGATTGTTTTTCGCTGGGAGGAGTACCGGAAGTGGTGGACTTTGGCAGCGCCGGTGGTAAAGGCAAGGAACCGGTCGGGACGTGAAACCCGGCTTTCGAGAACCACGTGACTATGCCATGGTGAAAAGGAACCCTTTGACTTGTTGTTGCTAGGATGCAAATGGTCTGGGATGTTACCATGTTTGTCGGGTCTGTTCATGCATTCGTTGAGATTCACCGTCCTCCACCTTTGGAGAGGACAAAAGACCGACCCAGAATACATGAATGCATGCTTGTTGTCTCCCGTAACTATTTGGGTTCCATGTTCTGTTCTGACTCGACCTTGCGGGCGTCAGGGAAGGGCTAAGGGGAGAGACTAGGGTCCATATGTGTTTCTCGGTTTTAAGGTTGGACCCCCCCTCCCAGAATGTGAGCGGGATTCGGGTTCGCTATTTTGCTTGGTCCTGTTGGGGTGCCTCCATTTTTCGGCTTTGAGCAAGTTCAAGATCACAATTTGGAAATGAGTTCCCTTGGACAGGGTGATATATCAAAGGGACATGATTGAAGCCTGCCCAAAACGGGGTTTAGGGCACACCCTCCCTGTTTGCACTGCGTGTTCCTGTTGGTGTCCCTGTAAAACAGACCAAGAAGGGTACCTTCAGAAAACGACACGGTTTCCTGTTGGTTTCCCCTTAAAAGGACAACAAACAGGTGGCAGTGGGTCAAAACCAATGGTACTATGTTGGGGTAGGTGCACCGCCCATTTTAGAACCATTTTAGTGGTTGGATCGGGATGTTCACTGGGGGTACGGGCTTTGGAGATTTTGACCCCTGGCCAAGTGGCATTCTCGAAAAAGCGAGAACCGTGTCGATTTGGAGCCAGGCAGGCCATTTGGATGGCATGCAGAATGGCATTGGCCTGGAGTCGGTGGATGACCACATGGCAGCCATCGGTGGCTGTGCCGCGATGTGGCTACCTGCTTTGCGCTTTTATTCAATTTGTTTAGTTAGTTTTTTGTTGGGGGGAGGGGTCGATGTTTATTGTGCTCATCTATTGTGTTGTCTTTTGTTTTGGTATTTTTTTGGGGGGTGTTTTAGCGCTTGGATGATTTGGGGGCTTGCTCATGGGCGGCAAGGAAGATGCAACACCGCAGGTCCGGGTTCCAGGCCAGACGCCTGCCCAACTGTGGCCGTTGCTGGAAGGGTTTTTTGGGGATGCCCCCGACTTTTAATTTGCCTGGAGAGCTTGGGAGCAGTATAGGGCTGAAACAGTCGGATTGAAGCCTCGCTTTGTCTGCTGCTAGCAACAAACATGTGGCTGACATATGTAGCGGTTGATGGAAAGTAGTTCTGGCAACTGAGGTGTGACTAATGACGTGGACTGCCCGCCAGCAGAACTGATAAGGAAGATATTTGACCGCGTCTTCGAAACGCGCATCAAGCCGGTCTTTGAGAGTGACACTTATAGCCTGGCCCCTGAGCACGTCCGAGTCAAGAACGCCTTTGTGCGGTACTTGGTGGGTCAAATGATCATATTCTCCAGGTATGACTTTCTGGACGAGAGCCAGCGGTATGCCGCGAAGCTTACTGACTTTGTGAGGGCCAACGTGGATTGTTTCACTGAGGCCAAGGTGGAGACGGCGCGAGGCTTGTACGCCCAATTCCTGCGCATCTTGCTGGGGAAATCGCTGCTTACACCTGACGATTACGAGGTGTACCAACAGATTTGTCCCTTGTTTGATCCCGTTTATGTATTCTATGATGAGAAGAAGGACTTTTACACGCAGCTGGAGGAAGTGCAAAAGCAAATCCTCGGAGGCTGCTAGTTGTCAATGAAATCGCTCACCAAGCCGGACAAGTCGCCACGAGGTGCGCGAAAAATGCAGCTTCGAGATGGGTGTCGGACTTAGTTCTCACGGTCCCATGAATCGACCAATTCTTGTATCTGCATTTGAAATGCAAGTCAGGGGTGGGTGAATCCCCACCCCCTCGAAAATGGAATACGAGGGGGGGGGGGGGGTTGAGGTATTGTTCCATTTAATTTGTTTCCGGCATGGGGGGGGTGCGGCGCGGGATCTCGCTTTGGTGCGGTGTGGATGATCTTTTTGTTTGCGGACTTTGCTCGTGGCAAGTTGCGGCTCCCATTTTCTGAGCGAAGGGAGGGCCAATGGGGTATCAGACCTCGAAAGCGCCTTCTTGCTTAAAAGTGTATCTGTCAGAGCTAGAGATTGAGAGAGCTCCAAGACATTGCTATGGACTCGGAAGATAATGGTTTCGTTTTGACTCATCTAGGTGTGTCTCAATGGGAACTTAAAGATAGTTGTCCTTTGGGTTCCCTTTTGCAGCAACCAGTGGGTGGGAGGTACTCAAGCAAGACGGACCTATTTGGTTGTGAAGACTCTGATCCAAGGATTTGCATCCGAAGCCTCTCCGACTACTCGCGCTTGGATGAGGTGCTTGGATTGACTCGAGCCTTGAGCCATCCAAAGCTGTTGCTTGTTTCCGCTCTGAGAGGTCTTCACGGATGAAGGGCAGACGTGGACTTGATGCTTTTTGGGAAGACCCGTTTAGGGGTTAAAAGCAAAGAGCTGAGACTTTGCTGGGCCCAGCCACACACGAGCGCAAGTGAGCTTGCACCAAAGTTCTTCCCTGAGTGAACTCAGATGTCTGGACTTGCCAAGGTGCCCTTCATTACTTTCGGAGTGGGATTGCCATTGAATTGTGCCAGTGTTGAGTGTGGTTGAGGATTCAGTCTGCTCGCTTTTGTTGAAGCGTGACTTTAGCTGTTTGTTCAAGGAGACTGGATAGCCAGCCAAAGCTTGGAATGTGTCGAGATTGGTTCCCTGCTTGACGGCTGTAAGAGAAGACTCAATCTCTTGGATTTTATGGGCGTGACCACATTCCGTGCAGAATATATATATATATATGGGTTTGTATATAATATATATATATATAGATGGGTTTGTCGTTTTTGTTGTGTTGTCGCTTCAAATGGCTGCTACTGCTGTTGCTACTACTTCTCCCTCCTCCTCCTACTACTACAACTACTATTACGACCAGCACTACAGAGCTGCTACTACTACTACTACTGCTGCTACAGCGAATCATACTCCCGAATCATACCCCGAATCATACCCACGAATCATACCCCGAACTCAAACCTTCCTGCCCGGCAACCGTAAAACAAAATACGAACGCGGTCTCTCACCCCTTTTGCTTTCCCTGAAACTGGTCAACCCCCTTCCACTTCCTTTCCCAGCCGGGAATCTTAAGCAACTCGCCGGAAATGCCACGACTCGACGGATGTTGCAGGAGGGCTGCTTGAAGGTAAGCTTCGCTGAGATCCTCAATGTGGTCACTTGGGCTGTCCAAGGGGCTGTGATTCCAAGTGCCCCGCTGCGCATCGCCCAACTGTTGCCAAGGTGTTTGTTTCTTCAGCTTTTGGAGGGCACACGAAAAGAATGGTGTGAAAGCGGTTGAAACTTGAGTGGAACCGAAGCCATTTTAGGGGGAAGCCCGTTTTTGGGATACCTACGCCTGAGTCACTTCCCCAGCGTTTGGGCCTCAATTCTTTTTGGAAAGCGCGTTTGAGGGGCAACGAACCGGGCGACCCGGATTTTTAGGCCCCAAATTAAACAGGCTTGGATGTTCAAACCACTTGATTAGGTAGGTTATAAGCCTGGTAAGGGGGAGATCCCCCCTGTTACCCCGCTTTTATTCATAGTTTTAGCCTAGTTCCTAAGTGGCTTGGACATCCAAGCAAGGAACCCAGAAAGAGGACCGAGGGCGTTGACGAGTTTCCCCAAAAACACCGCACATGCCCAAAGGGTGTCTTTCCAGTTACTTGAAGCCTTCTCAGCTGGTTCTTCAAAGAGACCCAAAAGTGGACTGGAACTTTTTGCCGGTGATTGGATAGCTTTTAGGTTTAGTGAATTCCATTTAACCCACTCAAAGTTTAACTGTTTGCAAGGGATCTGAGGTGTGTTTTCCGACTTCAAAGTGAAAGACCGATCATGTGGGCCAAAGCAAAAAAAGCAACCGCTTTAAGGAAATCACGCCCGCTGCAAATTCATCAAAACGAGATGTTCTGGTTTTTAGGGGCCCGCAAAGACCCGCACCCAAAGACCCCCCAACCTATTTGGCCTTTGTATGGCTGAACCGGGGGATTTTGGGGGGATTGGGAGGGTCCCTCATGATTTTGGCACATCTTTCTCGCGGAACTCGGTCAACAGCTACAGCCCGAGGTTTCGCGCGCTGGGGAGGTTGCAATTGGCTGGTCCGGCGAAATTGACCACAAGAAGGAGGAGACTCGGCACTGGTGGCCTGGAACTCCCCTGCCAAGCTTGGGATGCCACCCCCAAAACAAACGCAAGCGGAGCTCATTGTACCTATCCTGGTTCTTCCGAAAGGTCAAGCTAGGGTCAAGTTGAACAGCCCGAGTTGCTTCAGCTGTTAGCAAGATGCAGACGTTTCTGACCTTTTGTGAAAATGCCGAGTTCCCATACAGCCCAGCAAGCACAACCAACTTGTCTACTTCTGCACGCCCGATCCTTCGCATTTGCGCCGGGCGGCTGTTTTGCGGAAGCTGCTGGCCAGCTTTGCTGCATGAGCCAGCCGCCCTCGGCCCTTCAGCAGCACATTGCGCGCGAAGTCACACGACTCTGACTGCGGCAGACGATCGCCAGCCAGTGCATGCTACCTGCATCTTGCTAGCAGTGGTGCTGAGCCCCTACTCAAAACCGCACGGGCACACATCCGCGCACTCGCAAGAGTTCCTTGCGCGGGGCCAGGTACTGCTCGGCCGCGTCCTTGATCTTTGCTCGCTGCTCATGCGTCCGACGCTTTTGGTTGACGCATATGGTTGGATGCCGTGCTTTTAAGCGGTCAGGGCCCAAGAGGAAGGGCCGCTCAAGCAGTCTAAAGCAACTGGCGTCATAGTCCTCGGTGGGCCCAAGACTGCCAGCAGCTGCAGGCTGGGATATGCTGGCGCAGCTTTGCAGACATTCTGGCAACAGACTGGCTCACCAAGTCAACTAGCCGAGTGGTACAGGCTTTGCTGTTGCCCGTAGAGACTGCTGTCCTCGCGATCTGCACAAGAGCTGCGCAGATAGCTTGGAATCCAGGAAATCCGGGCGAACCAAAAACATTCGCCAGAGTCCCAACATACCTGGAAGAATGTAGACGTAACTCTTGCGGCTTCAAACGTCAAGCTCCGATCGAGTAACCCAGGCTATCGTTTTGAATGTGCCAGAGTAGCTGGGTTGGTTGAAGCACTACGCAGGATGGATCAGTATATGAATGGGAGCCTGTTGTGGATTGTTGCAACGCGAAACCAATCGAGAAACCACATTGGTGATAGTTAGTTTGGGTCAACCGAGACAATTTCCACATTAGGTATGTGGCCGCAACTTTCTCGAACAGTTCAGCCCGGCCTGGCGTTTTGCTGGGTCTTCCGAAGCCAGGCGCCTCTTGAAAACATGACATTACTGTTCACAGTTCAACCATGACCAAGCAGATTCCTTTTATGATCCCTGGTGGAAATCAAAAAAACTCATTCGCCTGCAGCTCAATGGTGCCCGTCTTTCTCCGGGCCGACTTTCGGGGGCTTCCTGTACGTGAGCTCTGCTTGAATTTGGGCTCCCAAGGCCGGCACGATCTGGGAGCTGAATCCTGCAGACTGGCACAAGCCGCGGCGTCCCTCAGTCTGCAGTTGGATGGCGCGAGGGTGGCTGGGATAGGAAACTCTTCTAGGAAGTTTTGTTGGGCCCTACTCGAGCTGCAGGAAGTCTTGGTTGCCTTGCCCTCCCCCCCTTCCCCTCCTCCGCCGCTTACCACCCGGCGACGCTGCTTTGGGAGTGGCATGGATGGGTGGATGAAGATGTAGAACACAGAGCCTTGGGACCCAGCGACCAAGGCGCCATGTTGCAACACAAGGCTAGAGTTGGATGATGCAACTTGCACCGTTCCGCACTGTTTTTCATCAAGAGGTGGCTGGGTTGAAGCCGAAAATTGCGCTTGGCCTTGGACAGAGTGCTCGAAAGCCACCAGTTTGGAAGAGCCAAGCTTGGTCTTCACGTGTCCTTCGCTGCTTGAAAGCAAGCTCCTGCCACATCCCCCTGGAGGACGTGGTGGCTGCTGGAATGCCTCCTTTCGGATCCCACCAATCAGTTGTCCGATTCTGGGGTCCCAAGTTCCAATTCTTCCATTTTTCCACTTGCTCAAGAAGTTTTATTTTTCCTTGCTGGTTTTCAAGGGAATCTGTCACTATTGTAAAAAGTCAAGAATAAAATTAAAAGAAAAACAAGGGGCTGAAATGGAAGAATTCTGGTCCTCAGACTGACAGCCCCCAGCCCAACTCCTCCCGGGGCGCGAGGCTGGGCCTCGGATGCGACTCGGACGCATTCGGGTCAGTCGGCGATGTCTGACGTCCGCGCGAGGTGACCTTGCCTCACCAAAAGGGTTGCGATCGTTTCCGTTTGCCCAAGCCAATCCCGGAAAAGGCTCCCTCAAAGGTATGCCTTCAAACCACTGAAAGGTTCCCAGCCCCAAAAGATCATATTATATCGTAAATGTTGCCTTAGCATTTGGACATGATTTACCGCGTGGATTTGTGTCCATCAAGTATGCTGGAATATCCGAATAGCCAAATGGCGCTTCGGTAGCTTTCGCGTTGCCACTTGAAAGAGAGCCAGCACTTTCGGACAGCAAGATCAGCGCGGTGAGCAAAAGGAGAACAGTGATTAAGCTCACCATTGGCTCACCAGCAAGTAAAACTACTTCATGATGAAGGTTCTTTACTTGAGTTCATTCTGCTGGAATGATTGCAAAGTTTGCAGATCATATTGACGGATCCCAGGACATGATCGTGGTGATCGCCAAGCCCCCGAGTGTGCCTGACGAGGTTTCAGACGGCAGCCCAAACGCAGACATCAGCACCTCGGAGCAGGTCCCAGGCCCCAAAGGATAAATAAATGTCGGGCAAACCAAAGACCTCCTAGCGCCGTATGAACATTTCGAGGGGTCAAGGGGGCACCTGCGGGGTGTCATACCCACCATTTAGAGATAACAATGGGAAGTGCCACTTCAATGGGCCCATGAACACGACTGTACGTTTTATATGTGTTCGAATAGCTCGGGATGGTAGCTGTATTTTTAGCCTGCCGTGACTACATTTGAGAGAGTCATGGCTTTGATCCAGGCCTCAACTGTTGTTTGGTGCCAGTATAGCTTGGAGCTGCAAGTGCGTGAATAGCTTTCCTGTATAGTAGATCACTTGAGCAGCCAGGGAGACTAGGTCAACTCTCCTTGTTGAATATTATCTGGTGCACCACTCACACACCGCACAAAGCTTCCTGAGCTCACCAGCTTGTTTGGGCACTGCGCACCTTGGGCCATTCATGGATTCATGGGCAAGACGTACATCTTAGTCTTAGGTGCCATAACGACAGTCTCAGAGTCTCACGCATGAGATTCTTGTGCTTGACTTTGCGCACTTGGCGCTGTGTTTACCTGGGCAGTGCTTGAGTTTTTCACCTGGCTGATTGAAAGAGAAGGCAACATCCAGCTCCGAAGGCGCAGTTTTCTCACTTCGAGATGTTTCAGAAGCACTCTGTGTCCTCTTTGGATCTTCGGACTTTTCAACTTTTTGGGAAACAGTTGGATTTGTTCATTGGACCCACCAAAAGCTCCTCTTTTTAGCAGAGGGGTCAAGGAGGACCCCGAACAGCTGGCCGGTCAAGGGGAAGAACCGGCCAGCAGCTGCGATTTCACGGTCACCGCATCAGGGAGGCTCAAGGCCTGGGCCGTTGGCCATCGAAGCCGAGTGCCTTGGGGGAAATCCTCGAGGGGCTGTGTCTTGCACACAAACCTCACGGACGGTCCCGTCCAGAAGTTGACGGTCCAGGTAACACACAGAGTGTTTGCCAATGTTTGGACACGGTTTAGAAGAGTTTCAAGGCGGACACCACAATTCAACCTCTTCAAACAAAGTTAGCAAATGCCAAATGCAAATGAGGTATAACCATTTCTTGACAAAAAAAGGTAAGTTCGTCCAAAGGTTGACCCCGCTTCAAAAGTTTGAATCCCCGGACCAAACCCGACGAGTCCCGTTTTCCCTTCCGAAAGCCTCAGGCAGCGGAGGTTCCCCGGAGCGCGCGGGCGTGGGGATGACCACCGTGGTGACCGCCATGCGCTTCCGCCGGGCACTGCGCAAGCAGAGCAGCGCCTCGGCTCTCGAGCGGAGAGATGGATCGAGGGAATGGATGGGTCAAAACTCAAAGCCCTCCCCTGGTGAACATCAAAGTAGGCGGCAAATGGATGTTCATCTACCTCATTATTTGTGCCATTGGTTATGCCCCATGGCAAAATGGATGGGTATTTTGGTGATATGGGGGAGGGGGTGCAAACCGATTTGTCGGCTTTGGGGGGGGGCTTGATTTAAACGGAGAGGAGAAGTCAGACGACTTTTTTGGGGGGTACACTACTTTGAGACACACCCACGTGAGTTGATATACGAGTTGATATTTCAAGGTTGAAGAAATATGCAGCAGAATTTGAATATGAGGTGTTGTGCACCTCAGGGTAGGGACAAGATGTGTGGCGCAGGAACTTGTTTGTTTCTGGGAGCTCACTCCACTTTGGGTTGGTTGATTTTAAAGGCACCCCCAACGCAGCGAAAAGAGGGAGCCCTTTTTGAGGTGTGTTTTTCTTTGAGGGAGCCCTAGTTTGGAGGAGCCCTAGTTTGGAGGGTTAGCCCAGTTTTGCTTGTCAAGGGGTGGGCTGGGGGGTTGCTCTCCGGGGTGGCCGAAGGCTCTTCATGAAAGCATTCAGGGGTCAGTTCCGAACATCCCGATTGGTCAGGTAGGGCTACTCGCAGTCTGGCTGGTATGTCTCCTTTTTTGGAGGGGAGCGCTGTTTGGGGCTGTTTTTTTGTCGTCTTTCCCGGGGACCAAATGGAAACCACTGAAACCACGACCTGGCACCGGAAAGGCCCCAAACCGGGCTCTTTCTGGAGGGCTGTCTATGGTTTAGATGACTCGCAGATGGAACCAAAGACGAAAACCTGCGGTTTGCCCTACTGTAATTTGAGAGATGTACCATAGCCACTTGGAAATGGAGCCAAAGACTTGCTTTAAGCAGCGAGTTGAACCGGAACCGAGAGAAGCCATCCCCGATTTGGTTTTTGAGGAAATCCCCGATCGGTTCATTCCCAGAAGCCCAGCCCATTCCCTGCAGCAAGGCCGAAATCTGTTTGCCCTGGTCGTGGCTTCGATTCGGAATGGGTTGGCGCAAAACTGTAAAGTGGGAAGGAAAGCCCGGCCATCGGTTCAAAACAAATGACACTTCCTTTCCTGAGCCAGTGTTTGATTGAATTATGACAACTCAATCATGTGTTTATTTAGGTGTGTGTATGTGTGTGTTTTGGTTCCGCGAAAGCCCTCCCCCAAAATAACATAGTAACCCTTTGCTTTCCTTTTGGTTTCCTTTTCAAGGCAAACAATTCTGCATGTTCAAACCACAGACACCTTGGCCCCGCTGAGGTTTCTGGTCCGCCACCGGGAACAGTCCCACCCAAGGCCTGCTCGGTGGGTTGCAGGCTGTGTATGTGTTGCACCCGTTGCAGACGCGCCTGAATTTTGCGCGCTGTGTGGAACTCATTGTTGTTGGGAAGCATTTTACATTTTTGCTTATTGTGGTTTGGTGGGAAATCCCAGCTTAACTGCTAAAATTTGGATGTTTGCTCCCCTTCCAATGTCCAACGTCAACCAAGAACTGTTTAAGAGCTGCCTGGCTTGTTTTGTTGCGTGTTTTGGCTTGCTGCGAATGTGTGTCAACACTATGATGTTGGATAAGGTCACCAAGCTGGACTCCTTGTTTTTGGGAGCGTTTGCCACCAGACCTGAGGATGAAAACGCTGGCTATGGAGGTGACCGGCAGTAAGGATTGGTTTCGCTTGTCCTTCAGCAGTTCCTGGGCCGCACACCCGGAGCATTCACCAATGGTTGTCGCCAAGATGGCTTTGCGGGAATTTGGGGATGTGCTGACAAGCCACCTGTCAATTCAATGCTTTGAGAATGACGCAAAGGAAATAACTTCCTAAGTCTTTGATGGGCATTATATAATGTTCCTTGTCAATGTGAAGGGATCGATTGGGGCAGTTATCAGAACTTGTATGTTGTCATTTGAGACTTCACGTTGCTGAAAAAGGAAAGGCCAAAACTCGCATTGCCCATGACCACTGTCCAAAGGCTGAGGCTGCCCATGATGTATTTGGCCAAGTGACGATTGTGAGTTTGGTCAGGATGTTGACCCAAAATAATCGTCCCGTCCAAAGCATAAGGGGATATTCCTCCAAACGTGACTAAAGGGGACACCCCCTATCAATCACCCACAAAACACACTTCATCTGGGGTTCCCATGACATTAAGTTGCGGACATGTGCATAGGTGTCCTTAAGTGAGTTGGTTCTACTGCTTTCCCTTTGCTTGCTGGTGCGAGAGATGCAGGGAATGAGAGTTTTGGACTGACCCGCATAGAAAGCATGCAACTTGCTGGTGGTTTCCTTTCGTCGGGGATCCCCAAACCGATTCATTCGGTCCCCAGCTGAACTTGCACCGATCGCAAGTTCGGTTTTCTGCTCGTCCAGTGCCATGGCCTCTCTCTCTCTGCCAGGCGAGGACACACCCTTGCCTTTCGAAGGCTTGGCCTGCTCCTCGTCGTTACCGAGGCTATGAGTTGCAGAAAAGTTGGAGTTTGGTTCAACACCAATGGGATCCCAGTTTGGGATAGGTGAATTCACCACCCATTTTAGAACCCATTTTAGTGGTTGGATTGAATCGGATGTTCACTGAAAACTAAACCGATTTGGGTTTTGACCCTTTTGGCTAAAAGGTGGGGAAATTCCGTGGAGATGCGTTCATTTGGGTATGGCTCAAAATTAAAGAGCTGGGGCAAACCGCGGGTATTAGTCTTTGGTTCCATTTACCATTGTGGTACCACTTTTTTGAGCTACAGCCATTTGTATGTATACTTGTGACATGTGTTTGCAACATGTGCGTGTCATATGCATGAGGGATTGATGAGCATGAGTGGTGCAATGCAGCCAAGGTACTTCGAGCTCAAGTATAGAGCGTGATGTCAACAGGAGCTCCCAGCCTGAGGCACCAGCAACGACCCTGTGATCTTTGACTCTGAGTGCTGATGTGACTCAGAATTGGAAACGGATGTTTTGAGGATTCGGTGACTGCTCAGGCCGGGCTTAGCATGTCGTCGACTTGCCTGGACGGGAGCTGGCTTGCGATCGCAAGGTCCCGATGTCTTTTTCCGCCGCCAAGCGGCAGGAGCTCGATTAGAACTTGCCCAGGTGCCTGCGTGCATAGGGGCGGGTGTTAGATGCGGCCTGCGGGTTCTCACCTGCTGCCCAATCTCATACGCAACCGGCTGTTTATGGTACCCAAAGCTTGTGATTAGCTTTCCTCTGTTCGGATTGTTTGTGGTGCAAATTGGGTATGGGTCAAAATTAGACCACCAGCTCACCACAGGTTGTAGTCTTTGTTTCCATTTGCCAGGATTCCATTCTGGGTATCTATTTTTGACCCACACCCAATTCGCATAAGGCTTGCAGTGTTTCATGAGATTGGCCGCAGGTTGGACGCAAGCTGTCACAGTGAAAAAAGTCGGCTTGAAGCTTCAGGGTTCCCGGCTGCAAAAGGAAAGGCGAGGCAACCCCGAAGCCCTGCTTAGAAACGCGTTCCTATCATCGGTGACTCGAGGGGTTCGGTGTTGGAGTGGTGTTGGCAGGTTTTTTTTTGGAGCGACCTTTTGTTCGATTCATGACTTGAGAAACATGGTTTACCTTATGGTACCTTCTGGTTCTTATGCACCATAAGGTGTTTTCAACCACTGGTTCTTCATGGTTTCCCTTCTGGTCTTGCCAGCTTTCGTAGTGGCTGGCCATTCGGAGACTCAGTCCCAGTTCACTGGGAGTTGGCCTCCGACTTCCGATGGTTGCAGTAAGGTTGGCCCTGGATTATTTAAACCCCTGTTTATGCATGGGGGTTCCCCTCCAAAAGTGAGAAATCCCCACTAGAAATACATATTAATAAACAGGGGGTTAATTTATCCGGGGTCTACATGATGCCAGGTCTGGATGGCTGTCTTGCCTGCCGCTGCTGGGCACTCAGGGAAGGAAGTGCTTGGAGCTTGGCGTGGATGTTCAGACCTCAAACATGCCGTGGGTGGACAGGGAAAAAATCAATTCAAATATAGGCGATTGCCATGAATTCGCGGAGGTTTGGAGCAATCCATAGCTTCACCATCGCTGGGTACACGTTGCAGTGGGACCAACCATGTGTTGTAGGTTCCTCCAAGTCCCTCTCATCTCCACTGCCTTTTGCAGCAGTCCGCATGACGAATCCACATTTGTTTCAATTTGGGGAAGAGGCCAGGCACCCTGCACCCAACACCCCTGATTTGATTCCCCAAACTGGATTTCGATGTTCCTTTTGATTTCCCTTGAACGACCACCTTACCCTTACACAAATAAATAAATAAATAAAAAACAAAAAATCAACTGTTGGTTTGACTTTTTTGCCCGACGTGTTTTTTAGTTGGCGGCTGACTATTAGAATTGTTTTTCAAAGAGAGACTCGAGATGTTTCCTGGAAACAGCGAAAGGATAAACCCGGATTGCTAGTAATAGTGGGCAACATGTATTGCATCATTTGTTGCATGCAGGTATGTATGTAGTGTACCGGTTGGAAGCGGTGTGTCGGAACGGTGTCAGCAGCGCCGCCTAGTTAGAGGCTGGTCACGTGAACAAGTAAAGACTGACATGAACAACTCTGCATACAGGAGTATTTCCCAATTGTCATGTCGTGCCAGCTTATGCCTTGCTCGGAGATATTGTTGAGTTGGTCTTTAGCGCCACCGGTGTTAGGGAGACGTCTGTTTAGAATGGGCCATGTTTTCTGCTTGAAAAAGCTCTCTCCCTGTTCACAAGAGCATCTAGACATAGTGATACAGTGGATGGACGAAATCCTGCACCACCTACAGAAACCCTTAAATCATAGTTTCCCTGATACCAAGAAATCCCATGGTTTCAACCATGGTTTCAAATTGGTGCGAACGGATTTCGTCCATCACTACCATGAACATGGAGCCTATGATCCGCCCAGTTGGAGTCGAAGATGTTCTCGGCTTCTGAGGTCAGCGCACCGAAGAAGCGAAGACATGATTTCCTAGCGTGAATGAACAAAACCTTTGCTAGATGAATTGTGAGCTGTGTATGATACGCTCTATGAACCAATACGTCTTTGATTTAAGATGAAGGGTATCACAGTGGTGATTAGTGGTGTGAAATAGATTGTTTTATGATATTTACTAGGTTTGTAATATTTCTTACAAGTTAGTTGGATATTATTTGCTAAGGTAACGTTTTTATTAGGTATTATATATGTTTATTGTCGATATTGTTTTTGGCTGTTTAAATTAAATTAATTTGATTTGGTATGATTTGCTAAATTAATGATAAATTTATATGATTCTTAATTAGTAGGCAAAATAGATATATGAAATTATATTTTATTGATTATTTTCAGAAATAAGTAAAACTTGTAAATTTATTGTTTATATTTTTTTATGATGTTGTAAGGTTTTTGTGGAAAGTGATAATATGACATGGTGTTGAAGAGATTGTTTTTTGAATTTTATTTTATATTTTGGTTATTTATATATATATATATATATATTATGGATGAATTGATAAAATATTGGTTTTTTTTTATTATAAAAGAAGAAGAAGAAGAAATTTATTTATTTTAGATATATTTAAATATTGGATTTGTTATGGAATTTATTTTTTAGGTATGATTCGATATTTATTTATTTATTTTAGTTTGGAAATTAATTTATTATTATGAATGAATATAATTTACGAGGTTCGGAATAATTTTGTATGAATTAATATAATTTAAAATAGGATTTATGTTTTGTGATTTTATGTAAAATATTTTATTATGAAATTTGATGAGGTTTTATTAAATTTCGTTAGGTTTTAATATATTTAATGAATTTAGGAATAATATTTAAATTGATTATTGATTTTAAATTAAATGAATTTTAAAACAATATTAGTTTAATAAAATTAGAAAAACATTATATTAATATGGGTTTGTGTTTTTTTACCGTGTCAGTTCTTTAGTCTTCGTGGGAGGTGGGGCTTGGGCGAGCCATACCCCCGAATCATACCCCGAACCATACCCCCGAGCCATACCCCGAGTCATACCCCTTAAAAAACACAAAAAAAAAGAACTTGCAAGAACTGTGGCATTTGCATGTGATCTATGGATAGCTGGAAGCTATAGGGGGTTTAACTTCAAGTGAAGAAGGGGGTCTTGTCAAGAAACAGTGTTAGAGAGCTTGACATGTGGACCGATGCCAGGGGGTAGGGACTCCGAGGTAATACCTGGTTCACTTGTGGTTCCTGGATCTATTCTTGAGTCTGCGATGCTTGCATGGTTGGGCTCTGATATCATGGGGCCAAGTATAGTTGACATGTCCACTCACACACTCACTGGTTACTCGTGGGGGGCCATTTTGGCTCAAGTCGTGTTCCTTGACACTCGGTTACCCACCTGTCTCGGCTTGCTATGGAAAGTGCCAATGGATGGAGGGATGGAGAAATCCTGCGAATGTCCTGGTACTAGAGTTGTCTGTAGCATCCGTGGTGCTGTGGCGGGGGGGTGCAGCTTGACGTAAGACGCTGGGACTTGCAGGGCGCTGTGGGGGGGGTGCCGCTGCTGAGCTTGAAACTTGGAGCTTGCTTCCTGCAGTCTGTCCGACGCGGTGGAAACAGCTGTCTGTCCTGGGCCACTGTCGCAGTGAAACACAAGCTGTCTTTGTGCTCCTAGGGTGCTCTTGGCGTCTGTCCGGTCGAAAAAATCTGTCCCCGATTCATACCCCCGATTCATACCCGATTCATACCCCGATTCATACCCTTCTGCTGCCACTTGCAGCCAAGAGCCTCTTGCGCTCTGGGCAGTACTAGCGAAGCTATGCCGCCCAAATCCTCAGAAGCAAGTCAAAGAGAAGCACTGCAGGAACCAGCTCGCGGCTCTTTTCGCAGAAGTTCGCTAGAAGGTGGGCTCGGAAGGCTTACTGCGATGTATCAAGCGCGACACGGCGCACCACCTGTGAGAGGCCCACTGGCCTCTGCGCGGCTGCCGTTTGAGGATGTCACGCTGTCTTGCCCTTACGCTGGTTCGTGACTGGTGCGGGTGGCGGGCCTGACTGGGCAGCGGCGCTTCCCCTTAAGCAACGCGTGCTTGGGTCTGTGAGCACGCGGGTCGCTTGAACTCCAAGTGGAGGTGGCCATGACGTTCGCCTCAGGCAGTGGCTCTGCGCCTTCCACCTAGCGCAGCAGCTTTCGCTAACCCACTCACGCAGAGTGGCAGCTGTCTAGTTCAGGCCACTCACAAGCGCCCCAGGCTGGCTTGTAGCAACTAAGCGGTCCAAATTCTCATGGCTATCCAGTCGCCAGCGCACGGGAGCTTTGCAGTGTCCAAAGCCACAAAGCAAGAGTTCAGAGGCGCGCGAGCCATACCCCGAATCATACCCCCGAGCCATACCCCGAACCATACCTGCGATTCATACCCCTTATACCAACCTCCCGGCACGGCCACGTCAAAAAAACACACACCCAAATAGATTATAAATGTGGTTTATTATAAATATTATAATTGATAAAAAAAATATATTTATATGTTTAAATTGAATTTAGATATATATTGATACTAGATTATGAAGAATATATATAAATATATATTGTTTTTAGATAATTAAAAAATGTTTTATATTAAATATAGATTAAACATATAATAAAAATCTCATATTCTTTATATATTACATTATAAAATTTATATTTATCTTTATATTATTTATTATTTCGATTATATTATTTATATAAGGATTTGTGGCATTTATATATTGTCCGAGCCTTTATATCTTATATCGATTATATATTATTTATATTATTTATATATTGATTTAAGTAAATAAGGATTGGCATATGTTGATTTATATCGCCATTGAAAATTAAATAACATATATTAATTAACTATTAAATTTTATAAATAAATTAAAGAATTATTTAAAGTATCGATATGATCGCTTTGAATATATA